TTCATTTCATGAATGCAAGATAGACATACCCGTGAAGAAGCAAACGCCAAATGGCTCATAAAAAAGGGTCTAATACCCGAGCCTTATCTTTATCAAATTCCAGAACTAGGTGAACGCTTTGAATATGTTGTAGTTGAGAATGATTCATCACAAAAGGTAGGTGACAAAATGGAGTACCCATAAGTGGTAAGATGTCTTGGTAAAAAGATCGATATTAACTATTATCTGAAAACCATTATCGGGCTCTGTGCATGTTTTATAAATTATGATGATAGACACCAGCCATCATCTGAAAATTTGCTAGAAACCTTAAAAAAGTTAAAAGATGATAATGAAGTGGATGAAGACGAAGTGAATAGGACAAAGTGAATGAAGAGGATAAAGACAAAGTGGATAAAGATAAGGTATCAAAAATAAGAGATGCATTAGCACAGAAATCAGCTGAAAAGTGGGTTAGAGGATATATCAAAAACCTTCATGAAGGTTCAAAAAAAGATGAGACTATCATAGCCCATCTATGGAAAGAAGCACATACTTATGCGAAAAATTTATATGAAATCACTTATGCTGATAAAATAGTAAAATGCTCGGGAAATGATGCTTATTGGTCTTCCTTTCTCAGCGCATTAGATAAGCAGAAGGAATCAATTCGCATAAAGCTAACGACATTACTTGCAGAAATTTCCCAAAATGATATAGAGAGCAGAGAAGAAATGTATAAATTAGTTATTAAGGCCGGTAAGCACAAATCTAAAGCCATGACCTTAGAAAAATATATTTTAACATTTATTCAAGAAAAAGGATATGAAATATTAGCTGATTTGTGAAACACGTGGTACAAAGTGGTTGGCCTAGAAATCACACGCTATCGAGCGTCATCGAAGTTACAGGGTGATAAAAAGGATAATTCATATGAAGTGGATATAGATAATATCATCGAATTATATTATTAAGTACTCTTAGAAGGATGTGAGAATTTTAGCTAAGAAAACTTACAATATTATTTATATATTTTTTTGTGCAATAATACTGGCTAACTCCAATTTTTATATTAGATCTGGTCACGAGATGACCTCTTCCGGTCTCTGATCATACAGTTGGTCTTGAATATGCTAGAGATGCTAATTGCTATTCTGAATATATTGTTCAGTTTTTTTCCACATATTCCATAGTTTTTTTATAACAATGATCAACATAATTATGACTAATAGAAAAAGTATTATTGAATAGATAAGTATTGATGACAATGATTTATCTGCAACGATAGGGATACTTGATGGCTTAGCCAGATCTTTTTGAGACCCCATCCCTTCTGCGCCACCTAATGAAATCTTGTTTGTCAAAGTAGCAGGTAAGATTGGTTCTGAAAAAACAGTCTTCAAATTCATGCTATTATTTTTCTGTTCTTGTATAGAACTATCTAGTCCTTCTGGAAACACATTAGGAATAATTGTACTGAAAGTATTAACCCCTCTAGCTTATCAATTTTTTCACTACCAGCTACAAGCGAATCTGATTGATTGTTGTCAGAGTATCTTGGAGCCAATAAATTAATCACAGACTGAAGTGATTTCATTTCTTCAGATTTTGCAAAGTTATCGGCCTTAGATTTGACAAGAGATATTTCTGCACAAGCACTCTGGGATATTAGTTTAGAGTTTTCAACCTTCAACCGCCTATTCTCATTATTGAGTTTTATATATTCACTTCGCAACTTAGCATTATAACCTCGTATCTTGGATGAGTCTTGCAGAATACTGTACGATGTATCTTTTTTTCAAGATCGTGTATTCCTATTTATTTATATTGGCCATAAACATGTAAAAAAAAACCATATTTTTTGTTAGAGATAGTTGCGATAAATAAAGAATGAATACGAAGAATATCGATCATTCACTATCATTAATTATAGATAGCGAATTGGAATATATTTTATCTATTTAAATTAATAAATTATATTTTTTAACATTCTCTTTTACCTTATAATGATAAATATTTACTTCTAACCTTTTTTATCTATAAAGATCGATTTCTAATATTTTTTATCTATCTAAGAGTAAAAAATATTGGAAGGATTATGACTACACTATTTTTAAAAACCCATTATAGACGAAGTACCACATTCTTGACTTCTAAGCAAATTGGAGAGATTAGACGTCTCAAAAATTAAGTTCCCGTATATATAATAGTAAGGGAATATCATATCAATAAAGATCGTGTTTATGATATATGGAATGATTGCGAACGCTTACAGCAAAATGGAAACTGTCACTTTGAGAAGCTTAGAAAAGCTTATTCCATCTCTTCGGAGAATGATTCAGAAGATCATGCTAAACCGACTTGTGAAGTGCCCGATGAGTCAATTCCAAAAGAATTATCTGAGGTCATGGGGGTCTCTTTAGGACCATCACCTGCCCCTCTATTCTCGACTTTGTCGAGGATGAATGTGCAAGAAAAGCAAAAAAAGAAAAAGAAACTATTAAAGTCCGGATCTATTTGAAATTCTGACTTACCTGAAATTTTGGCAGTGGGTCCCTGCCAAAACTCCTTACTAGATGTCTCACACGATCTAATTGCTTCGATTAAAAAAGATCATATAGAATCAGAAGAATCTATGCGTGAATCAGAAAAGCTCTTTGCTCTCAACACACTTCGCTAAGCTAGAATATCTAGTTAACAGGGAAAAAGAGATCAGAGATTTTTATTAATCTCAATTAATTTAGCTTTGGAAATGAGAGTATCATACAATATTTTTTCAAGCTCCTCATAGCTTATACATTTTTTTTAAATACATCATTATACCTACTCAACTCCTGTGAGTCCTGTGATATGTTATCCTGAGTTGGGATATCATCACAATCCGGAGTTATATTTGCGCAATTTACCTCAAGCTTGTTCTTGACCTTATGCATAGTGACTAGGATAATATAATCTTTTCTATTAAGAGAAATTTTTAGCTTATGGTTTTCCAATCCAATATGCAATTGTATTTTTTCAAAAGCTGATTAGAAAATATTAACGTTGGCTTCTGATATTTCACAACAATAAAATTTTTATAGATAGTACAGCCTGGGGCTAGAGTAATAGGTAATTTGCGAAAAACCCCAACAGATTCAACCAGAACAGTGGCAATACCACTAAGATCATGTGTTTCAGATTTATCAATTTTAGCTTCTACACGTTCAACGATATTTTCTATTATAATGGGAGGTTCAGCTCCAGAGTCGACTATCATGGCAAGAATCTTTAAACATTTGATTTTACACTTTACAGTAGCAATACTTGTTTTCGGCTCCTTCTTCTTAACGAAATCAATCTCAATCGGACTATCCAAATCTTCTTCCTCATCTGGATCTAGTAATACAACCTTGGTAATTGGAGAAGTATTGCTTTGAGATTCTATCTTTTTTTGGATTAGAGGCGCTTGATTCGGTATATTAGCTTTAATAGAGTCTTGGGAGAAATGATTAGGAAAAATTAATTTAAGTTCACTTTGGAGGACTTTACGAATAGTTTCCTCCAATGAAGTTTTAGATATCTTTTTAAGGGACGATTTCTTGGAACTAGAGTCTTGCTTCACTTTTTTTTGTCTTGGCAATGTTGACAGTGATATTGTTTTCAGAATCAGAAGAATCAGAAGAATTAGAAGAACTTGTATTAGAACTATTACTAGAAGAAGTATCAGAAGAAGTACTCGAACCTGAATCTGAATCTACAGTAGCAGATTAACTTTACCCCTTTTCTTTTTCTTTCGAGTGCAGTTTCAGGAATTATGTTCAGATCTTCCGTAGGTGGAGCATTTGTGACCTGTTGATTTCTTAACAGCACGTTTAACAGCAATTTTTATGATACTATTTAATATTAATCCTGCTAAACTATCTGAAATATCTTTCTATAAGATCATGATCATATTTATCAACAGGGTGTTTACCTGGATTTTTTCTTAGTAAGTCACTCAAAAAGTGATTAATACCAATATCTTTCACTCTCTTCTTAGATGATTTTTTACTATTATCTAGAGTTTTAGTCGCTCGAGACATAATCTCTTGGAAGGATTTAATAGTAGACCGCAAATCAGCATTTTGTTGAGCCGTTTGAGAGTCTGAGGATGCCATTGCGGTTT